GAAGTATGGTGGTGGGTCCATGAAGTATGGTGGTGGGTGTGTGAAGTATGGTGGTGGGTCTATGAAGTATTGTGGATGGTGTGTGAAATATGGTGGTGGTTCTATGAAGTATGGTGGAGGGTGTGTAAAGTATGGTGGTAGGTCTATGAAGTATGATGGTGGGTGTGTGAAGTATGGTGTTGGGTCTATGAAGTATGGTGGTGGGTGTGTGAAGTATGGTGGTGGGTCTATGAAGTATGGTGGTGGGTGTGTGAAGTATGGTGGTGGGTCTATGAAGTATGGTGGTGGGTGTGAAGTATGGTGGTGGGTCTATGAAGTATGGTGGTGGGTGTGTGAAGTATGGTGGTGGGTCTATGAAGTATGGTGGTGGGTGTGTGAAGTATGGTGGTGGGTCTATGAAGTATGGTGGTGGGTGTGTGAAGTATGGTGGTGGGTCTATGAAGTATGGTGGTGGGTGTGTGAAGTATGGTGGTGGGTCTATGAAGTATGGGTGTGGGGTGTGCGAAGTATGGTGGTGGGTCTATGAAGTATGGTGGTGGGTGTGTGAAGTATGGTGGGGGGTCTATGAAGTATGGTGGTGGGTGTGTGAAGTATGATGGTGGGTCTATGAAGTATGGTTTGGTGGGTGTGAGAAGTATGGTGTTGGGTCTATGAAGTATGTATGGTGGTGGGTGTGTGAAGTATGGTGGTGGGTGTGTGAAGTATGGTGGAGGGTGTGTGAAGTATGGTGGTGGGTCTATGAAGTATGGTGGTGGGTGTGTGAAGTATGGTGGAGGGTGTGTGAAGTATGGTGGTGGGTCTATGAAGTATGGTTTGGTGGGTGTGTGAAGTATGGTGGTGGGTCTTTGAAGTATGGTGGTGGGTGTGTGAAGTATGGTGGTGGGTCTATGAAGTATGTATGGTGGTGGGTGTGTGAAGTATGGTGGTGGGTGTGTGAAGTATGGTGGTGGGTCTATGAAGTATGGTGGTGGGTCTATGAAGTATGGTGGTGGCTGTGTGAAGTATGGTGGAGGGTGTGTGAAGTATGGTGGTGGTTCTATGAAGTATGGTGGAGAGTGTGTGAAGTATGGTGAATGTTGTGTGAAGTATGGTGGTGGGTCTATGAAGTATATATGGTGGTGGGTGTGTTCGTTACACCATGTGGTCTCTCAGATATGAAAACGATCAAGCAACAGATTACCAGAAACCCGAAACAACTTTCATTCTTCACCAAAAGTGTTTTAAAGCATTTCGAACCAATTTCAAGTTTTCAAAAGTTATTCAATGAGAAAGTTAATCAATCGATATCATTTACTTGAAGCAAGCTGTTAGAGCCTATCCAATATCCAATATATCACATAATCTATCAATTTCTTGCCTTGTTGCTATGGGAGATGCTCAAAAAATATCATAGATTTTAATGAAAAATGAAATAACATTTACAATTCCCTATCTCAGAGCTGTGTGTTTTAGATCCGTGTGTGTTTGTCGAACAAAGTCAGAGTTTATATGTTTGTTTTGTGTTTTGTGGTGAGTGCAGGCAATGTTGTAAGGCTTGTGGGATGTGTGTAAGTTTATGTCCTCTTACATTGATTTTAGTTGTGGCTTTATTTTGGTTTGCAATACGGCTTTAACCAGTAGAGTGGCTTTAACCAGTACAGAGGCTTTAACCAGTACAGTGGCATTAACCAGTAGAGTGGTTTTATCCAATGGAGTGGCTTTAACCAGTAGAGTGGCTTTATCCAGTAGAGTGGCTTTAACCAGTAGAGTGGCTTTAACCAGTACAGAGGCTTTAACCAGTACAGAGGCTTTAACCAGTAGAGTGGCTTTAACCAGTACAGTGGCATTAACCAGTAGAGTGGTTTTATCCAATGGAGTGGCTTTAACCAGTAGAGTGGCTTTATCCAGTAGAGTGGCTTTAACCAGTAGAGTGACTTTAACCAGTATAGTGGCTTTAACCGGTACCGTGGCTTTAACCAGTAGAGTGTCTTTAACCAGTAGAGTGGCTTTAACCAGTAGAGTGGCTTCAACCAGTAGAGTGGCTTCAACCAGTAGAGTAGCTTTCACCAGTAGAGTGTCTTTAACCAGTAGAGTGGCTTTAACCAGTAGAGTGGCTTTAACCAGTAGAGTGGCTTCAACCAGTAGAGTGTCTTTAACCAGTAGAGTGGCTTTAACCAGTAGAGTGTCTTTAACCAGTAGTGGGGCTTTAACCAGTAGAGTGTTTTTAACCAGTAGAGTGGCTTTAACCAGTAGAGTAGCTTTAACCAGTAGAGTGGCTTTAACCAGTAGAGTGGCTTTAACCAGTAGAGTGGCGTTAACCAGTAGAATGGCTTTAACCAGTAGAGTGGCTTTAACCAGTAGAGTGGCTTCAACCAGTAGAGTAGCTTTAACCAGTAGAGTGGCTTTAATCAGTAGAGTGTCTTTAACCAGTAGAGTGGCTTTAACCAGTAGAGTGTTTTTAACCAGTAGAGTGGCTTTAACCAGTAGAGTGTATTTAACCAGTATAGCGGCTTTATCCATTAGAGTGGTTTTAACCAGTATAGCGGCTTTAACCAGTATAGTGGCTTTAACCAGTACAGTGGCTTTAACCAATATAGTGGCTTTAACCAGTACAGTGACTTTAACCAGTATAGTGGCTTTAACCAGTACAGTGATTTTACCCAGTACAGTGGCTTTAACCAGTAGAGTGGCTTTAACTAGTACAGTGGCTTTAACCAGTACAGCGGCTTTAACCAGTATAGTGGCTTTAACCAGTATAGTGGCTTTAACCTGTAGAGTGGCTTTAACCAGTGCAGTGGCTTTAACCAGTACCATGGCCTTAACCTGCATTATCACGGGTTTAACTATTATCAAGGCTTTCATCAGTATCATAGCTTTAGCCAGTACCATGGCTTTAACCAAGAACCTGGCTTTAACCTGTATCATGTCTCTAATAGATACCATATATTTAACATACCTTGGCTTTAACCAGTATAATTTATTTAACCAGAACCCTGGTTTTTACCAAGTCAATGATTTTAACTTCTACCATAACTTTATCCAGTACCATAACTTAACCAGAACCATAACTTTAACCATTATCGTGGCTTTACCCAGTTTTATAACTATAACCAGTACCATAGCTTTAAACAGTAGCATAGCTTTAACCAGTACCATAATTTTAACCAGTACCATAGCTTTAAACAGTACCATAACTTTTACCAGTACCATAACTTAACCAGTACCATAACTTTAACCAGTACTATAACTTTAACCAATACCATAATTTAACCAGTACCATAACGTTAACCAGTACCATAACGTTAACCAGTACCATAACTTTAACCAATACCATAACGTTAACCAGTACCATAACGTTAACCAGTACCATAACGTTAACCAGTACCATAACTTTAACCAGTACCATAACGTTAACCAGTACCATAACTTTAACCAGTACCATAACGTTAACCAGTACCATAACTTTAACCAGTACCATAACTTTAACCAGTACCATAACTTTAACCAGTACCATAACGTTAACCAGTACCATAACGTTAACCAGTACCATAACGTTAACCAGTACCATAACTTTAACCAGTACCATAACGTTAACCATTACCATAACTTTAACCATTATCGTGGCTTTAACCAGTTTCATAACTTTAACCAGTACCATAACTTTAACCAGTACCATAACTTTAACCAGTTTCATAACTTTAACCAGTACCATAACTTTAAACCAGTACCATAACTTTAATCAGTAGCATAGCTTTAACCAGTACCAAAGCTTTAACCATGTGGTTATTGAGGTCGACGATTTTACTCATGCTCTGAGGACAGAATTAATAAAATGCAGGATGAAAACCATAGAGGAAATATATTCAAACCAGAACCAAGAAAATATTTTACTAAGTTATACATTTTCAGTGAAAATTTCTTCACACTCGATTTTCACTCCAAGTGTCTGAGAGTCAGATTAAATAATGACATTAATCCGACTTACACAGATCATGAAAATTTGATCCATTTTGTATGTCTGCCAAAAACGTTTGATAAAACCTTCACAAAACCGATTATTTTGATAATAACAAATAATGTATTACATTTTTATACCAGAGTTTGTATAATACAATTTGGAAATTTTACATCATTCTCGAAAAATATTTTATCTAATACCAATATCATTTTGTATTTGTTATTTTTCAGTTTTCTAACACAAAATATTTTCCTGACCCTCAACGATTGTAGTCAATAGATTGTAAGAACGAGACTTGACAATAAAATTCCAATATTTGTCTAGCTCCAAATTTGTTGCTAACTTTCTCAGAATAAATACATTTATGACTTTTTAAACAATTTATTCATAGAAACGCTGTGCGTGCTAGGCTATAGTTTGTTGATTTAAAATAGCATAGGATAGCACATGTTAGGATAGACTAGGCTAGAAAAGTTTTGGCTAGCATATATGATTTGGATATGTTATATTTGGATAAAACACATCCATATAAATAGTTTTGAAATGTTAGATTAGGTTAGGCTAGTATATGTGTGATTATATGGCTAGGATAAGTTAGAATATACTAGGAAGGAAGGGACGAGAGAGATACTGATACATTAGGGTGTATTATTATAGGATAGGATACATTAGAATGGGTTAAAATACAATAGATTCGTATGCTATAGAGCCGAGGATGAAGTGAAGGTGTAGCGCCTTACTTAAGGGCCAATAGGGCCATCCAATGAACAAAATATATCCACAGGAACCTTGATGAGGGGTTCGAACCTATGTGCTGGGTGTTCCCCAGGAACACGCTCTAGCGCCACAACATGGCCAAAAAGAATAGCAAAACACCATCACATTATAATCATAATCTCGTATGTGCCCCCATGGTGGCTGGGGCAGTATGGTGTGTGTGGCCCCGTCGTGTTCTGCAGGATGGCAGAGTGCAAGATGGCAGAGTGCAAGATGGCAGAGTGCAAGATGGCTGAGTGCAAGATTGCAGAGTGCAAGATGGCAGAGTGCAAGATGGCAGTGCAAGATGGCAGAGTGCAAGATTGCAGAGTGCAAGATGGCAGAGTGCAAGATGGCTGAGTGCAAGATTACAGAGTGCAAGATTGCAGAGTGCAAGATGGCAGAGTGCAAGATGACAGAGTGCAAGATGGCAGAGTGCAAGATTACAGAGTGCAAGATAGCAGAGTGCAAGATGACAGAGTGCAAGATGGCAGAGTGCAAGATGGCAGAGTGCAAGATAGCAGAGTGCAAGATGGCAGAGTGCAAGATTACAGAGTGCAAGATAGCAGAGTGCAAGATGACAGAGTGCAAGATGGCAGAGTGCAAGATGGCAGAGTGCAAGATGGCAGAGTGCAAGATGGCAGAGTGCAAGATGGCAGAGTGCAAGATTACAGAGTGCAAGATGGCAGAGTGCAAGAGTTACAGAGTGCAAGATAGCAGAGTGCAAGATGGCAGAGTGCAAGATGGCAGAGTGCAAGATGGCTGAGTTCAAGATGAAAGAGTGCAAGATGGCAGAGTGCAAGATGGCTGAGTGCAAGATTAAAGAGTGCAAGATGGCAGAGTGCAAGATAGCAGAGTGCAAGATGGCAGAGTGCAAGATTACAGAGTGCAAGATTACAGAGTGCAAGATGGCAGAGTGCAAGATGACAGAGTGCAAGATGACAGAGTGCAAGATGGCAGAGTGCAAGATGACAGAGTGCAAGATGGCAGAGTGCAAGATTACAGAGTGCAAGATAGCAGAGTGCAAGATGGCAGAGTGCAAGATGGCAGAGTGCAAGATGACAGAGTGCAAGATGGCAGAGTGTAAGATGGCAGAGTGCAAGATGGCAGAGTGCAAGATGGCAGAGTGCAAGATGGCAGAGTGCAAGATTACAGAGTGCAAGATGGCAGAGTGCAAGATAGCAGAGTGCAAGATAGCAGAGAGCAAGATGGCAGAGTGCAAGATGGCAGAGTGCAAGATTGCAGAGTGCAAGATGGCAGAGTGCAAGATAGCAGAGTGCAAGATGGCAGAGTGCAAGATGGCAGAGTGCAAGATAGCAGAGTGCAAGATGGCAGAGTGCAAGATGACAGTGCAAGATGGCAGAGTGCAAGATAGCAGAGTGCAAGATTAAAGAGTGCAAGATTAAAGAGTGCAAGATTAAAGAGTGCAAGATGACAGAGTGCAAGATGGCAGAGTGCAAGATAGCAGAGTGCAAGATTAAAGAGTGCAAGATTAAAGAGTGCAAGATTAAAGAGTGCAAGATTACAGAGTGCAAGATGGCAGAGTGCAAGATTACAGAGTGCAAGATAGCAGAGTGCAAGATGGCAGAGTGCAAGATGGCAGAGTGCAAGATGGCTGAGTTCAAGATGAAAGAGTGCAAGATGGCAGAGTGCAAGATGGCTGAGTGCAAGATTAAAGAGTGCAAGATGGCAGAGTGCAAGATAGCAGAGTGCAAGATGGCAGAGTGCAAGATTACAGAGTGCAAGATTACAGAGTGCAAGATGGCAGAGTGCAAGATGACAGAGTGCAAGATGACAGAGTGCAAGATGGCAGAGTGCAAGATGACAGAGTGCAAGATGGCAGAGTGCAAGATTACAGAGTGCAAGATAGCAGAGTGCAAGATGGCAGAGTGCAAGATGGCAGAGTGCAAGATGACAGAGTGCAAGATGGCAGAGTGTAAGATGGCAGAGTGCAAGATGGCAGAGTGCAAGATGGCAGAGTGCAAGATGGCAGAGTGCAAGATTACAGAGTGCAAGATGGCAGAGTGCAAGATAGCAGAGTGCAAGATAGCAGAGAGCAAGATGGCAGAGTGCAAGATGGCAGAGTGCAAGATAGCAGAGTGCAAGATGGCAGAGTGCAAGATAGCAGAGTGCAAGATGGCAGAGTGCAAGATGGCAGAGTGCAAGATGGCAGAGTGCAAGATTACAGAGTGCAAGATGGCAGAGTGCAAGATAGCAGAGTGCAAGATGGCAGAGTGCAAGATTGCAGAGTGCAAGATGGCAGAGTGCAAGATAGAAGAGTGCAAGATTACAGAGTGCAAGATGGCAGAGTGCAAGATGGCAGAGTGCAAGATGGCAGAGTGCAAGATGGCAGAGTGCAAGATAGCAGAGTGCAAGATAGCAGAGTGCAAGATGGCAGAGTGCAAGATGGCAGAGTGCAAGATGGCAGAGTGCAAGATGGCAGAGTGCAAGATTGCAGAGTGCAAGATGGCAGAGTGCAAGATGGCAGAGTGCAAGATTGCAGAGTGCAAGATGGCAGAGTGCAAGATAGCAGAGTGCAAGATGGCAGAGTGCAAGATGGCAGAGTGCAAGATTACAGAGTGCAAGATGGCAGAGTGCAAGATGGCAGAGTGCAAGATGGCAGAGTGCAAGATAGCAGAGTGCAAGATGGCAGAGTGCAAGATTGCAGAGTGCAAGATGGCAGAGTGCAAGATAGCAGAGTGCAAGATTACAGAGTGCAATATGGCAGAGTGCAAGATGGCAGAGTGCAAGATGGCAGAGTGCAAGATTGCAGAGTGCAAGATGGCAGAGTGCAAGATGGCAGAGTGCAAGATGGCAGAGTGCAAGATGGCAGAGTGCAAGATTGCAGAGTGCAAGATGGCAGAGTGCAAGATAGCAGAGTGCAAGATGGCAGAGTGCAAGATTGCAGAGTGCAAGATGGCAGAGTGCAAGATAGCAGAGTGCAAGATGGCAGAGTGCAAGATGGCAGAGTGCAAGATAGCAGAGTGCAAGATGGCAGAGTGCAAGATGGCAGAGTGCAAGATGGCAGAGTGCAAGATAGCAGAGTGCAAGATGGCAGAGTGCAAGATAGCAGAGTGCAAGATGGCAGAGTGCAAGATAGCAGAGTGCAAGATGGCAGAGTGCAAGATGACAGTGCAAGATGGCAGAGTGCAAGATGGCAGAGTGCAAGATGGCAGAGTGCAAGATGGCAGAGTGCAAGATTAAAGAGTGCAAGATTAAAGAGTGCAAGATTAAAGAGTGCAAGATTACAGAGTGCAAGATGGCAGAGTGCAAGATTACAGAGTGCAACTCAGTACAATATGTCTTTATCTGATGTATAATACATAGCCAATATCCAGTCTTCTGTCGTTTTATCTATATCGACAGATACAGAACTCTATTAACATCTCCAAAGGATACGTGATCAACCAGGCTGTGACTCATACGTCAGGCTGCGAGCAGCCGCGTCCAACAGCCTGGTTGAATGGACTACCAGCCAGGAGGTCTGGTTAGAGACCGGGCCGTGGGGACGTTGATCCTAGGAACCATAGCAAGGTAACCACAGTGTTCTTCACCCAACTATGGTGTTCTTCACACAACCACAGTGTTCTTCACACAACCACAGTGTTCTTCACACAACCACAGTGTTCTTCACACAACCACAGTGTTCTTCACACAACCACAGTGTTCTTCACACAACCACAGCGTTCTTCACACAACCACAGTGTTCTTCACACAACCATGGTGTTCTTCACACAACCACAGTGTTCTTCACACAACCATGGTGTTCTTCACACAACCATGGTGTTCTTCACACAACCATGGTGTTCTTCACAAAACCATGATGTTCTCCACACAACCATGATGTTCTTCACACAACCACGGTGTTCTTCACACAACCACGATGTTCTTCACACAACCATGGTGTTCTTCACACAACCATGGTGTTCTTCACACAACCATGGTGTTCTTCACACAACCACGATGTTCTTTACACAACCACGGTGTTCTTGACACAACCACAGTGTTCTTGACACAACCACAGTGTTCTTCACACAACCATTGTGTTCTTCACACAACCATGGTGTTCTTCACACAACCATGGTGTTCTTCACACAACCATGGTGTTCTTCACACAACCACTATGTTCTTCACACAACCACGATGTTCTTCACACAACCACGATGTTCTTCACACAACCACGATGTTCTTCACACAACCATTCGTTAAATAATATTAACATTGAGACAAATAAACACATCTATCCATCTTACCAGTTGATTGACAGTTGAGAGGCGGGACCAAAGAGCCAGAGCTCAACCCCCGCAAGCACAACTAGGTGAGTAAACATCTATCTGTTTCTCACCTGTCATCTCTATCCTCGTCCTCCTCCATCCCTTTCCATCCACCTCCTTTACTATCCTCCTTCTCCTTCAATGTCTGGGCTTCCAAGCTCTATCCACCTTTATTCCTCCGTTAGTCACCATCCATCTCTATCCACCTCCATCATCCAGGGGGTCCTCCCGCGGGGTGATAAGGACCGAGCATCATTCACCTAGCCGCCGCACCTGTCCACGCGGGGCTAGCCAATGGGGCTCTTCTCAATTATTTTGGATGATAGCGTTGTGGTCCGAGCCCTGAGGGACCTGGGTTATGGATGGCTTTTCTGGGAGGGTTGTAAATAACACTATGTGGGTTGATATAGGGGGAGAGGGGTCCTGGGGTTGGGATCACTGAGATGGGATAGGGGTAAGGTCTGTGGGGTCTCAGGGGTTAAGGTCTGTGAAGTGGGTAAGGTCTGTAAGTCACCTGGGGTTAGGGTCTGTGAGTCTCTAAGGGTTAAGATCTGTGAGGTATTAAAGAGCTGCCGTTGTCCTTAATATTTCTTTACCTTCATTAAGGTAAAGAAATGACTTTCGTTCCCCCAATCCTTGTAACATTTTAGACTTCCCAGGGCAAACTTTGGGTAAAGTTAAAGATGTCTAAATGACATATTTGCTCGTTATTTGTCAAAGTTCATTTCGGTTGAAGTCACCACCTAAGGCTGACTTTCGCGTGCTCAGCTCTTGGGCCCCGGCTCAAGGAGTCCCCGGATGTTGGCACGCAAGTTTATTGGTCTCAGCTTGTAACGGCCCCCCAACTGGGGAGGGGAGGTGAGGGGAGGGAAGGGGAGTGTGGGAGGGGGTGGGGGTTACCCCCTGGAACAAGATTGGCCTCTGAGGGCAAGCTTGGAGACTCCTGATTGGAGTGTGCAGACTTCCCACATATCACCATCATCTCCCTATGTGGACTTGCCACATATCAAAATCACAGGGAACAGGTAAGTAAGCAACTCACAGCTCTCAGATCAAACCTGCAGCGACTCGGCACTCATTAAACTGGGAAACCACATGAACCAATTAACTCCTCTGCTTCTACAACTACTAGAAAAATAACCGAAATCAGATCCTAAACTCACTAAATGGGCCCCGACCCCATTAACCTTCGTGACCTGGAACTCAAAGCGTCAAAGCATCACTGATACGACTGAAATAATTTCTCTACTTATCAACATCATCCCGAGTTTTCATATTCTATTCATGGTCAACGCCTAAACATTAACCCATTTTTGGTTAAACTTTTATACCCAGAGGCAGGCCAGAACTAACCTCATGCGTAGAGGCATTTGAAATTGAAATTGAAATAAGTTTATTGAGGTAAAATCCACACAAAGGGATGAGGTAGCTCAAGCTATTCTCACCCCGTTCAGTACATCGTCTTAATACATACATAGACACACATCACAAGCAATAAACGTATTACCGAACATTCCGAGAGAGGCATTGACCTTCTAACAGTAACCTAATATTCAAACGCATGAACCAAAATCAATTCCCGTAAGATGAACTAGACACATTGACATTGCTCAATTCCTTACAATGGTGCCCAAGATCAACTTCTTGGGCGCTCATGACGCAGAGAAACAATAAACTTAAATGAAGACGATTTGTGTGTAGACAACTACTTGGACACCAGACTTCCTCTCACCGTCACCACACATCCCAACACACGTCACCTACAACACCTTTTATGAAGCATCACTCGACACATGTGTTGCCTCAACAAACTTTCATCATGAATTATATTGTCGCACCGGACCGGACATTGGCCGAGACCACAAACCCTTCATCATGAAACTCACTAACTTTCAACCACCAACTCACCTTTTGCTTTCTACAAGTGGAACGTTAAGTAACTTGTTCACCTACAACCTGTCCTCCTACAACCTGTCCTCCTACATCCTGTCCTCCTACAACCTGTCCTCCTACAACCTGTCCTCCTACAACCTGTCCTCCTACAACCTGTCCTCCTACAACCTGTCCTCCTACAAACAACGTCCCATTTCGATCGTATGCGTTATATAAGGCCAAAAATTGTCGTACTAGTAACTAGAAAATGGAAGTGGCTCCCGAAAGTGACGTACTGTTCCGTTTTCTGTTTTGTGTTCTCTGGTAGGTTAGGATAAGGGCACTTTAAATTGAACGTTTTCTTAACGTTGGGAAACCTTCGGAGGACGCGCTGCATTAGACCCAACATAAAAGCATGGTTGTCCGCTATCAACCCCCCAGATACAAAAGCTACAAACCTTAACCCAGGACCATCCACAGTCACCACAGCCATACAATCAGCGGCTACCTTACTGTTTCAAAACCAGGAATATGATTAGCAAACCACACACGCCCCGGGTGGAACCCGGAGTGTGTAGATGAGCAGTAACATTAAGATAAATAACCATATAGTACCAAAGACGCTCATGCTCTCTACACAACATGGCTTCAAGAACAGTAAACGAAGATACGTGCCAGCAACACATGCATCACTGGAAAAATTCCGCGATAGCCTCACACCAACTACAACACAATGGGCAACGTTTAGCAGCAGTAAAGGCCTTCCATCCTTCCCTTCGTCTCCCTCGTTATGATCAAACACTCCCAGAGCGACCTAATGTCTGGCCCGAGTACCTCAAGCGTCCAGAGACTATTTTCAAATCACATTTTTTCAACTCGCGCAAACCACTAAAAGTTGCGCAACTTAAAGTGATTTGCTGATGGAGGTGATACTCGAGCCTCAAGCACGACAGCCCAGAGGCCTACCAAGACACCTGTTTCCAACTTTGACAGCTGCTTGAGTATAGTCTTTGCTTCATAACATGTGTCATCTTTCTGCTCTCCAGCTCCTGAGATTAACTTCAAGTTCAAAGCAGGCGATGAGTCACAATAACGTGGCTGAAGTATGTTGACCAAGCCACACACTAGAAGTTGAAGGGACGACGACGTTTCGGTCCGTCCTGGGCCATTCTCAAGTCGATTCTCGTTCTAGTTCAAAAGAACTGTAGCCTTCACTTTTGTGCTATTGTGCTATTCGCTCTTGCAGACTATTTAGTACCTGATGCTTTTTTAACAACCAATGTAGAGTCACTTATATTTTCAGCTTTAAAAAACCAGAAAAGAAATTGTAAAGGTTTTGCATAAAATCAAAGAATACAGCTGTCCCAGTGCTGCTTCCCACAGCACATAGGCCTACCAAATTAAGGGGTGTGCAACACATGGAGAGTAATGTGCAAAATGATTTATATTCATCATATGTGCTTGAAGCCCGCTGTAACATATATGCATGTTCGATGCCTTCTTGTAAGATAGTTATCTTAGATTTGCAACATCAATTCCAGTTTCTTCGAAAAATTTCAAGACAATGTTAGCAAGAGCTTGTCCAGCGTGACGCAGTGATAACAAACCTTGTTATCTGATGCAGGCGATGAGTCACAATAACGTGGCTAAAATATGTTGACCAGACCACACACTAGAAGGTGAAGGGACGACGACGTTTCGGTCCGTCCTGGACCATTCTCAAGTCGAACCTATCTGATATCCCAACACAGCGAAAAATTACCCTCAACTCATCACTGTGGTATATGCCTAGTGGTGAGTCAACATCTTGAGAAAACATGACCAAACCTTATTTCACAAGATGGAGGAACGACGCCGTTTCGATCTGATTATCAAGTCTTGATAATGGTTCAGGACGGACTGAAACGTCGTCGCTTCACCATCTTCTGAGCTGTGGTTTGGTCATCATATCTTCAGCCAGGATATTGTGACTCATTGTCTGCATCTTGAGAAACGTATGCAGATTCCTTGATTTTTCCTACAATGGTTTTCAATACTTTCCCCCCCCCCCCCCACACT